AAGGGATATGAGGTAAGTCTGACTGTGAAGGAAAAGAAGAGGAAGTAGGGAAAGGAGCATCAACAAAGGTGGGAGGGGTAGGGAGATGAAATGTGGAAGGATCATTAGAATGATAAGGAAAGACAGTCTCATAAAAAAATAACATCTCTAGAGTAAAACATAGAATGATTAAGGAGGACAAGAAGCTTGTAGCATTTCTTGCCACAAGGATAACCAAGGAAGACAACAGCAATGGATTTAGTTTGAAACTTATCTCTGCCAGGCTTAGGAGAAGAAGCATGGCAGAAACATCCAAAGGACCTAAGGTGTTCATAGGAAGGAGAGAAACCATGTAACTTCTCAAAGTAGGGGATGTTTTGCAAAACAGAATAAGGAAGTCTATTGATTAAGTATGTGGAAGTCAAAACACATTCACCCCAGTATTTCAAGGGGAGTTTAGACTGGAATAGTAATGCCCTTGATACCTCTAGAAGGTGTTTGTGTTTCCTCTCAATCACTCCATTTTGTTGTGGGGTATGGGGAATGGAGGTTTGATGTAAGATCCCATTAGTAGAAAAGAAAGTTTGACATTCAGAACTACCTCCTAATTCAAAAGCATTGTCAGACCTAAAAGTCTGAACATTTGAATGAAAATGGACTTTGACCATAGAAACAAAAGCCTTCAAGACAGAGAGTGCATTACTTTTACAGCTTAGTAAATGAGTCCAAGTTACTCTGAAAAAATTATCAACTAAAGTGAGAAAATATCTGAAATCATTGTAGGTCCTTGTGTGATATGGACCCCAGATGTCAATGTGTACTAACTGGAAAGGGACATTAGAGTGAATAGTGCTGTCAGAGAAAGGTAACTTTTGTTGTCTAGCCATAGGACATACAGAACAGAGAAATGGTTTAGATAAAAGTTTATTAGATAAGAAGGAAATAGATTTCATCTTATTGAAAGGCATGTGACCTAGTCTTTGATGCCAAAAAAGATCAATTTTATTTTCAACAGGTGAAGCATTACATGGTACATTATGAATTTTAGAGTAATCATTAAAAGCATGACAAGAGGTTACATTGTCAGAACAAAGAGAAGTACAAATAGGAGCAACAGTAGAAACACTAGAATCATTTATACTAAAGAAAGGAACAGCAGGACAGACTGAAGTTGATGAAGTATCTAGATACAAGAAATATAATCCTTTAGCAGCTCTACCAATTTCCAATGGCCTCTTCAGAGAAGGGGCCTGTAGAAAACAAGCAAGAATTGCAAAACAGTCAAGTTGGACAATCAAATTGTGGATAGATATCAAATTGAAGTGAAATGAAGGAACAAGAAGTACATTGCATAAAGTTATATCATGTCTTAAGTGTAAAGAGCTAGTAGATATAACTTTTACTTTGTAACCATTAGGTAGAGTAATTAGAAAAGGAACAGACAATGGTTTGAGGTTGTGAAGAAAGTGTTGGTGTGGTATTATGTGATTAGTTGCCCCTGAATCTAAGATCCAAGAATCTACATCTAATCTTGATAATCCACAAACATGAAAATCAGTACTACTGACTACAGAACATAACACACCTGCAAAGCTAGCAAAAGCAGCATTGTCACCAAAGGGAGTCTCAGGGGTAAAACCGGAAGCAGGATAAGCAAGTGCATGTTGATTAGGTGTGACATGTGTCTTGTGAAGAAGACTCAGAAGATGGTGATACTGCTATTTAGTGAAACCATGAGGAGCAGAAGTTAGATCATTAGAATCTGGAGCAGTGGTTGTACTTTGCACACAAGAAGCTGAACCCTTTCTGCCCTTGGTGAATTTAAAGTCGGGGAAACCCATAAAACTTATAACATTTGTCAATAGTGTGACCCGACTTCTTGCACTATTTACAAAAGACATAAGATGAAAGTTGCTTCTTTGAGTCAAATTGAATTCTTTGAGAGAAAGACCTATTATTGGAACTCTGCCCAGCAGAAGTAGAGAAAGAAGCTGAATCATTTGAGATACTGGGGATGTGAGTGGTGTTCTCCTTATGATGTTCATCATGTTGAAGCATGGAATAAGCTTTGCTTATGGAGGGCATGGGAGACATCATCATGATGTTGGTTTTGCATGAAGAATATGTGCCATTTAGACCACTAAGAAACTGAAAAAGTTGTTGATCTTCTAGGAGTATAGGTAGAGCCCCACAGGTGCAGGTTGGACCCACATAAGTAGCATGAAGTTCATCCCATAACCCGTAAAATATGTTTTTATGTCTGAAGATCCCTGAGTAGTAGCACTAATTTCCATTTGAATAAATTTCAACCCATTGGATTGACCAAACCTTTCATTTATGTTTTTCTAGATATTTTTAGCAATATTGAATCCTATAAGGCTAATGGAAATCTCTCTAGTCAGGGAATTGGTCATCCACGCAATGAGTATGTCATTGCATCTCTCCCAAGCAGAATAATAAGGAGAGTTTGGTTCTGGTTGAGGATTCCTTCCCATTATCACTCCGAGTTTATTTTTGGTTGAAAGAGCAACTAGCATGTTCTTTCGCCACACAAAAAAATCACGACCATCCAAAGGAGGAGACACTAGGGGAGTATTAGGGTTATCTGATGAATGAATGTAAAACGGATGTGAAGAATCAACTGAGAGAATAGTGAATCCATCGGCATTGTGACTAATAGGGACACTAGTACATGTCAAACTAGGAGTACTTCCCATTATGTTCAATTCTACAGTTCTACGTATAGCAAACGATATTTCCCACAAAATTTCTATAACAAATCGCAACAAAAAAGGAGAAAATGATGAAGAAATTATACCGTCTTCTTTCAAAACCCAAAGAAGTAAGGCCTTTGCAGAATCTATGAAATTGAACTGGAATTGAGCTATTCTAGGCACACATAGAAGAGGAAACAACTTGATCGGAGATAAAAAAAAAAAAGAAGGGAAAAACCCTAATTTTTCGACGAACCAGTCGTTCGACCATCGGAAAAATCACCAGAGAAAACCGACGAGGGTAACATCGATCGGATGCGGAGAACGTGAACAAGCTAGATTCTAGCTCTAATACCATGTTAGATCAACCAAACCTCAGCATTTGAGCAAAATCAGATATGAAAAAAATCCTAGTTCGAGCGGAAGAAAAGATGAGAGAAGAGAGAGAAGATATTTTCTTATTTCTGTGATGTTCAATTAATGTTGTGTGTACAGTGTGTCTAGTCTATATACATGTTATCAAGTAAAAGAAAAAAATACAATGTGTAGTGAAATACAAGTGTATTGGGTCCTATCTATAAATGGGCCTTGCCCTTGGTATCTCCAGTTTGGGCCTCAATAGCAGTAGACTGTAATTGGGCTTGATGTGGTGTACTGATAGATGCATTCATGTTTACAAAATTCACCAATATCTTTGTGAATATACCTACTACACGGGTACAGCATAGTCTATAGATGATTTTTTTATATATTAATTATATGGAGCAGGGGAAGAATAAATGGAGAGGAGATTACAAAGTAAAAAATTGAACTCTCACTAATAAGATAAAAGTTCAAGTAATTAATCAATTCAACTATTAAGATTCCCCTAGTCTATAAATAATAATGTATTGCTATGCTGTATTGCAAATTACAATAGTTATGCCTTCTTTCCCACTACTAATTATGCCATTATTTGTGGGGATGATAACTAGGAGTAACATGTGCATTGATAAAAAAAAAGAACTAGACATGTGGCTGACAGTACAGAAGTCGAACACTTAGGAGTGGTTTGGTAGGATGCGTTTGAGAAAATAATGGATGCATTAGCTTTTGATATTACTAATCTTTTGTTTGATATACCTCTTCAACCTATGTATTATTAATGCAAGTATTAGTTATACAACTTATTTGGTATTATCTTATATGTATAACTAATAAATAACAAATTATGGTATTAGCAATATTAAGGCTATTAATGCATGCATTAGCATGGTTAAAGATAAAATTGTGCTTAAAGTTCCTTAAAGTTAAAGAATATGAAGGCTATTTTTGTAAACAACTAATTTTCTTAAAAATTATGCAATGCATTTTAATTTTTAATACACCACATCAAATAGTGAATAAAAAATAATTTCTGCAAAATTAATGCGTGCATTACTAACCCCTACATTACTAATACATCTTATTCAACATTATTCTCATGCACCCTACCCCTTAGTCACTTCGGATCAGCTGAAGTCATCTAGTCGAAGAACCACACGAAGTTCATCCCGGATTCACCCCACCTATAATGAATAATTCCATACTGGAATAGGTCATTCGGATAGTCGCCAACATCCAGGTAGACAACTCACTCAAACCAACAAACTCTGTGATATTTGGGATTTTACATTAACTCCTCAATAGTTACAAAGCCTCCGGACGCAACGTACGTAAAGGCAGAGCTAGTCTATTATGTACGAGTTCAACCACCCAATCACTTTTGCTTAAATATTATATTTATATTTAGAAATTTATTAAATATATATAAATATTTAATTACGAACCCAATAACTAAGATGAGCTATGTATTCTGTGGCAAATTTAGAACACATAAACTTCAATTCTTAGCTCCACCTATGAATCTACGGGATATGCCAACAATGCTTGCAACATGTGGCATNAAGTTTAAATAAAAATTTAAATGATTTTAAGTGATGACATCATCTTTTTTAAGCATCCAATAAAAAGGGCATGTAAATTTGATAATAACCCACTCTTGTAAGAACATTCTTTTCTATTTTCCAGCATTTTATTTTTTGAACAATGCTTCCCTGTGTTTTAAGCTAATCCAAATCTCTCTCTATATATATATATATAAAGTTGGGAATAAGAAAGGTGATGTGTCACCTCCTATGACCAGCATTTGTATTTATCTATTTTCTCCTATTTTTGACAGTTTTCAGTTCTATTCTTTTTTGTCTTCTATTTTTTACATTTACGTGCTTTGAATAAAAAAAACTGTCGCTCCTCCTATTTTTTCTCACCTAACAGTCGCTTATTTACTTCTCTCAGTAGTAACTGAAACACTCTCTCTCCCTTATCATGGTTGTCGTATTAATGGGATAAAACGCATCTCTTCTCCTTTTTTCCTCCTTCTAAAGTGATTGCCCAATTGCTGATATCTTTTCCTATATAAATTGATGATTATTGCTGAGATTTTGAGTTAATCAACCCATATTATTTTTATTAAGTACTATTTTTCAATGTATTAATTCAAGCACTATGTTTCCAAGCTACTATCATTAGGAACTGCAGGTAAAATATTCTTGCCTGTGATTATGTAGTTTAATTTTGGTTTCTTATTCTTTCTACTTATAGGTATAGTAAAGGAGCTAATCAAACAAAACAAAATGTGTTTTTTTATTTTGTTATTTTGCAGAAGAACGAGAATTTTGTAGAAGTGATTGGAGGAGGAAGACTGGACATTTGACTAGCCTGGAAAGGAGAGTTAGGTAAACGGGAGAGAGTTTTTTTGTCCTTTCGTTTTTGATAAAATTTTGCTAAAGAGAATAGACATGCTGAATAGGAGGAGAGAAATAGAAACAGGTAAGAAGAAGAATTAAGGAAAAATATAATTGATTACTTTGTTTGCCCAAGAAATACCTGTTAAACTAGAACTTACTACTATATTTTAATTCTCTTCAAAATTTCCATGCTTTCCCTTGCTGGTTGTGGTTTCTGTTCTATGAACATGCTTTTCCCCTTATTTTCAATGTAATTGTTTCATATTAGTTTTGAAGCTGACGTTATTTTCTTTAGTTGTGTTGTGGTGAAATTATAGGCAAAGAAGAATAATATTCCGGTTACTCCATTGAAAAGGAAGATAATGCATGAACAAAAAGGTGAAGAAGTTTAAGGGACATCAGAGTGATAGGAAGATATCTGATTGTGAAGGTATTATTCAGCCTTTTTAGCAATCACATTTTTATTTAAGCTCCATTTTTATCTTTTTGTTCAGCTAATCATAAAATATCATGAAATAAGATTGGTTTTTGTGGCACACTAAAATCTCTGTAAAGGTATTATTCTGTTATTATGAGCAATTCAAGTTTACTTTAAGTTTGATCTGGATCTTTTTGTTCAGTAATAACGTGAAATTTTCATTTCATAAGTGTAAGATTAGGATAAAAATTGGTTTACCTTATTTGTTATAACTATCTACTAGATTCTTTTGTGTCTGGAAAGGGAAGTTGATGATAGTTAGTGTCGTCCTTGTCTTGAGTTGCATCCGAAAAATCAGATTCTTCTAAGATGTTAGTCACTGGTCAATCAACAATTGTTTGAAAATTTTATTATTGACTGCATTAGTACTACATTAAAGATCACTTTAAGAACTTAAACCAATTAAAAAAGCACGACAAAGAGGAAAAAAGTAAACTAGAGAATAGGTCTTGCAACACAATTGGCTTCTCCATCAATAAGCTTTCTGATACTTTACCTGCTTACATCTCTTTTATTAAAGATACGTACCTACTCTTCTAAATATTTTGTTTGATGAAAACATTTCAATAGAATGAATACAAAAGAGAAATGGGAAAGCTTATAGGTATATTTAGTTGTTGATTATCATTTTGCTATGTTTGGAAAGAATAAGTATTTAACTAACAGGTCTATTATCTTGGAAAGAAAGAGGGGACCAGTAAAGGCAAAATTACTTGTATTCTTCAGAAGAACTTTCACAAAACTGTAGTCTTAAGTCTTTGTGCCCTTCTATTATTCTTGGCAGTTCCTTCAGTATATTATTAAGAAGTTTTTCTATGGGGAACTGTTTTTTTTAGCTTTTTGGATGATCATCGTTTGAGCTACTTGTGGGAATTAGCTAAGACTATAAACTGTGATGACTGTACAATATACAATGACAGTGTGGATGGAAATATAACACAATGACAATACTGTTCATAGTAGGAGATATAACATAATCACTGAAAAAGAAAGGAAACTTTTACAGACTTGAAAGGAGTTCTGCACTCTGTTCATTCTATAATATTTCTATAGGTGCTTTCAATCTTTTACAAATTTTAGCTTTTTTCTTCGGCCTATATACTTATAGGTAAGATTTTAATATCTTGATATACTTTTATTAGCTTCTGCTATAGATAGCGAGCCTACAATTCCTTAAGAGGGTGACAAACTGCTGCCATGACGACTGCTCTGGGGAATGCCTACTCAAGGTTAAAGAATCTTACTGTTCTTCGTAAATTTTTAGCTCCTGAGTTAATTTTTTCATGAGTCACTAAATTGGTTTTTATAACAGAATAGCTGAAGAGTTTGGATTACAGAACTATGTAGCTGGTGTAGAGCAAAATAGTTCCTCTAAATCTGTTGAGACAAGCAAAAGTCTCTTAACATGGTGAACAATCCGGAGTTGAAAGCCGTCATTGAGAGATACATTTGTCAATTATCATGAGAATGGTCTTGCTTAATATGTTTGCCATCATACCCATTTTTAAAAATATTTTTATTGCTTTGCCTCGTGCGATAAAATAGTACTTAATATATCATGACGACTAACGCATGTCCACTTTTGATTAAATATTGTAAAAGTGATATTTTCTCAATTTTCATTAATTTTTTTAAAAGTTATATTTTCTCTCTTTCCTTGTGTTGAATTTTTATTTATTTATTACCTTATTATATCATAAATATTACTATAACACATACAAGAACTATTTGTTGTGTTGAATTGTAAATATCACGTATATAATATTTCTTTTGTAGATCTTTTGTTTTAAAATTTTAGTTATTTAATAGTATCTTGTGGCATGATGTAGAATATCATCAAAATACGACAAATACCACGGTAAGGTACCAATGTCCTTATCCAAAAAAGAGGTACCAATGTCAATAGTTAATGTTCATTCAAATATATTACCTTAATAAATTATTCAATTTTATTTTTATTGAAAAAAGAAGATTTGGTCTTGTAATTTAAACCTTCAAATTAGCCCGATGAAGTTCTTGCAAAGGAGCAAAGTGTACGCTTCCATGTGTATTAAAAAATAGAAAAAGCACGTCTTGAAGATTGTAAAAAAAGCAATCAACTTTGAAAATATAATTAAATCACTATTATGGTTTATGGTCAAAGAATATAGAGAAGATAAATTGAATAAAGAGTAAAAATTCATTTCTTAACTATTAAAATTTTAAAAATAAATTTTCGTTCATATATTATTTTTTAAAACTGCAGATTTTAAAACTGCATTACTGTATTTTTCTTTCAATTATAAATGTTATTCAACTGCTCTTGGCGGTGACGGGTACTGCACTATAAGAATCTCTCACTTTCTCTTTGTCGTTATTTTGCTGCTTTTATCTGTCTTATTAATATCATCCTCTTATTTTACTCAAGCAAAAGATTCATTCTATATGATTAAGAGGATGTTTGGCTAAGCTTATAAGTTGGTCAACTTGATTTATAAGTATTTTTGGGCTTATTTACGCATTTGGTAAATATTTATAGTGCTTATAAGCTAAAATCAGCCACAAATCATCGGTTGATTACCCCCAACTTATGACATTTCAGCTTATAAGCATTTTTAGTTTGACCAAGATTTTTACTAGTTTATCCTTAATAATATTATGTAATCACAAAATATTTTTTTTAAAATAAATTTTCTAACTTTCTTTTCATTCCATATTTGTTGTTCGCCCTTTTCTTTACTAAGAAACTTTTTTATTTATAATCTTTTATAAGTTTTAAGGATATTTTAGTCATTTTAATAAAAGAACGGCTTATCAGCATTTTTACCAAACATATCAACTGTTTATTATCAATTTCAGCACTTCCATCCAAACACGTAAAACTTTATTTAACCGGCACTTAAAAATACTTTCCAACACTTCAAGCTCATCAACTATTTATAATCGGCTTGTCCAAACGGACTATAATATGATTGCTTATGGCATTGTTCTATAAATTTAATTGATTAATTTAATAATCAGATTTTTAAGTTAAACAACTTTCAAAACAGATATCAAGGGAACAACCCTAATTACAATGTTGATTGCAAATTGCAGTAGTTATGCCAATATAGCCAGTAAGTAATGCTACATCAATTACCTAAAAAAAAAATGCTACATTAAAAAGAAATAAAATTAAAACAAGATAGGATCCCCAACCCGATGGTTCAACTATTAAAATCCGGACCCGATCCATATGTTCCTTCACAGGACTTATTGCGTTATATCAGTCAACATTTGCAAATTGCGATTAGTGATAATGATTCTCCAAGAAATGAAGAAAGCAATAGGTGCCTACCGCGAAGTGCTGAGGCTAGTGAGGCTACTCCCAAAGGACACCAGGCCTTACTACGCAAAATACGTTCGAGAAAATTTCGTCAATTACAGAGAAATCGACTCAAATGATCCTAATGCTCTTCAGGAACTCCTTCAACGAACTTACAACCACTCCCTCTGGGTCCTTAATAAGGTAAACACTAAACACTAAAATACAGTGACAACGTGACATGTATTATAGCTATTGTAGAAGTCGTTAGTGTCCCTTTTACATTTATTTAGCATTTGGTTTAATTGGATTGAGTATTTATCGATAGACCCACTTGCAATTTCTTTTTGTTTTGCAGTATTCTGTGGACCAATCTGCAGCGGATCGCCTGAAGAATATATGCTCGGTTTGATGGTTCGTCTTGTCTGCCAACTGTTTGTTACTATTTCCCAAAGAGCTTTGTTCTTTTCTTTCTTTCTTCCTTGTACTTTAAATTGGATATTCTGCATTAGACACTTGATATACAGTTTCTGATGCTTCATATAATAACTTTTGAGAATTGATGATCTTTGCTAATTGTAACTGTTTAAAGTAAAATTCACTGACAAATAAATTTAAATTTAAGTAAATTCTCTTTTAGTTTTACAAGGTCCCAAGTCCAAGATCCATCTATGATATAAATAAGGTCAAGTCAAAGTTTCACATGTGATGGACAAGTATTTTGATAGGAAATGAGTGGACAAACACTTGAAGACTCATTTCTTCTTTTGTACGTATGTGGAATTTTAGAAACCCAACACATTTACTTATATTAAGGTGCATGTAGTCAGGTTGTTGTGATAGTTAGATACCTTATTATTGTCACTTTCACATTACAAACTATACATCATGACCAGTGTATAGTCAATAGTGTCCAGTTTTCATGGAGTGTCGCTTAGAGTCTGGCAGCCTATTGCTTCTATGGTGTTGAACTAAACTATTATAGAAGTATGGTGATGTGGGGTAGCATAAGAGGTTCGCTACGGTGACATATTGGTGGAGATAATTCAGTTGTCTAGTCAGTTTGAGTCCAGTTAGTAATACTTAAAAGTTAGCTCAGTAAGAGATTGAGTAATAAAATGTGAAGCTGACTCTAGAAATAATTAATCACCTTAAGTTTGGTGTTAATGAGTATTTTTGGGGCAGTGCTGAATCATGAATTTCTTTGGGTTTGGAGGTGGTTCTCACAAGTCACAACAAAGTTTTCGCATGGATCTCACTAGAGGAGAATGCGTGTAGGATCATAAGTTTCCATCTTAGTTCCATATTACGGATCACCATTTTATGCTTGTTTTTATGTATACTAGAAATAACTATGGATTTGTTCTTTGCTCTCCCCGAGTTTCTCTGTTGCCCTTTGTGGGTTGTGTTGTGGTATCTAACAACAAAGTTGAAGCTTCTATTAGTATTGGTATAAGTTCTATGTTGGACAATGAAATGCCAAAATTATTTTGCTTTATTTAGGGCTTAAGTTTGTGAGTTCTTGTTTTATTGGAATTCTTTGGTAATATAACTTCAAACTGCAGATTTTCAACATATCTTATCATACCTAGGTCTGGTTGTCTGTAGCACTACAGAGGTGTAAAGTGGCAGATCAATATCACATTAAGTTTTACTTTTGAGAGCTATTCATTAGCTGGTTGAATTAATCTTTGAAACTGTAGTTTCTTCTGAATGACATCTCAAACAACGTGCCCTAATTATCTTCAGGTTCATGAAATAGTAAAAATCTTGCTCATCCAAAAATGCTTATAAGCTGAAAAGTCATAAATTGACTTATGGCTTTTGACTGATTTCGGTGCTTATAAGCATTTTGGATGTTTACGCTTATAAGCCAGTTAAACCAGCTTATAAGCTTAGCCAAACACCCTCTATATTAGGCACATCCAGTCCAAGGCCAATGTGCTTTTACAGGAAGGAAATGTCCTCATTTTTTTTCTTTTCTCACTTCTTAATAGATGCTTTTTTGAAAATCAAACTAGTTTGTGTACTGTGTTGGTCCTGTTCCTGCAGAAAATTCTGCAGCATTTGTCATAATTAAGGTTGGTTGGGGATGGTAGTTGTAACTGGGGAAGGAACATACTTTTATTTGCTAGTTTTTCATAAGTCACTAATCAATTATGCTGATTAAAATTGTGCATACTACTTCAAAGTTCACTTGTCAATGTGCAACAATGAAATTGGTTTATTAGGCTCAATCCATGTCCTTTTCAATTCTAGGCACCTGGATTTCTACTTCAACGATGATCCCATTTGTTTTGTACTCTCCTGTTATATCCTGTCAACAACTTAAGATTTGGAGGACCTTCAATAATTTTTGCCCCCCCCCCCCCCCCCCCCCCAACCACAACGCAAGACCCTCATAAGAAGATATGTTTTGTTAAAGATGTCATGTTCTTTAATGAAGGAATAAATGAGGTGTGAATAACATAGGAAATGGAAAAGCATTTCTAGCTGATATACTGTGGCTTACAACACAAGCTACTGGTTCGATTACGAAAGTTTTGTGATTTTGTGTCTCTGATCTCTATCATTAGTGTTTGTTCAGCAGTCGACCAGTATGATGGAGAGGTTTTTAGTGATTTGTAGAACGGAAGGTCGTCCATATGGCTGTATATATACTAATTAGTCCTTGCAATAGAAACTTGCTTATCAAGATCTAAGTTTCTTCACTGTTAGAGCGACCGAAACAAACTCCGTGATTGTAAGAGGGCTAACAATCAGAGGAATCAATCACTGCAGAGTGGTTGGAAATCATGCTAAATATAGTTAAAATATGTCTCAGCACGTGTGTTTTTGGGTATAAAGATTACTAGAATTCTCACTCAATCGTTTTGTCACGTCCAATGCGATTTTTGCTTCAAATATTATTATGATTTTTGATTCAAAATGAAATGAACTGTTCTATAGCTCAAACAGCTTCAATAGGAACGTCTAACAATTAAGATCGAAGGACATGTATTAAGATCAGAGAGAAGGTATTTCTTGATTGATATATTTTGGATACTTAATGTTGTTGGATGGCCTTTAGTTGTATGCGATTCTATTGCCGCGTTTAAAGCATGACTATCAGTTACTAATAATTTATTTACACATACTAATGGATCAGTTACTTGGGTTTTGGACCAGCAGAAGCTGAATCGAAATAAGAGAGACGGGAGAAGATTGACCAAAGACGACCGTGGTGTCGTGGTCGCAAAAATCATAGTCCAAAGAAGCTAAGATGTTGGCTTTGGTTTTCTCGTCTTGTTTTATCCGGTCCACAATAAATGACTATTTTACATTTTTTTAAGTCTCCTGAAGTATTCATAGTCCAATTTTTAAGTCTTGTTTTATACTCCCTCCGGAGTATTATATTATATTAAGTCCTTTGCTTTGTGGTATATGTCTGCAGGCTCCGTAATTCGTACGTTTTCTCACTACATTGAAGCCTTTCTTGCACTTGTCAACCATGGACTAAGATTTGCCTCGTTTTTGTGAAAATCTTATTCCTTGTGCAAAAATTACCGTACTGAACCTAATTAAAAACGATTTTAATATTTTTCATTTTTTTAATCTTTATCAGAGTGTAGTCTCAATTGAATAAAAGATTTAATAATGTCATGAAAAGAATATGAACCAAATTCATAAACACTCTCTAGAATCTTACACAAATAGATTATAAGAATTCAAGTTGGTTCTTGGACATGTCAGTCAAGTGTTTGATGAAATTTAAAAAACAAAAAGAATAGGAAAAAAACAAAATGAACCGACAAAAAAAAATCAAAATTGACCATACAATTCATATATTAGATTCAATCTAGTGTGTATAAAATATAGTAACAAATTTGTCTAATCAATGATTCTTTGTATTTTTATAAGAACTGACTTCAACCTACAAGTACAACATACCCTAGTATGCTACCTGTAACACTAAGAGGTCGTTTGATTACTACGATAAGGGTATTGATTTTAATATAAAATTTAGGATTATATTTCATATTTGATTTTGATATTAGCTTCCCAGGATCTACTTGTGAGGTTATATTCGGTTTGTTGTTGTTATTGTTGATCGTGATATATGAGCTAATATTGATATAAAATTGATATTCCATATTATAATCTTTGAACTATAATTGTGGGATAATCTTGTTCCAAACCAGACGACCCTTGAGTAGTGATTATTGATGAGTGCAAAGATCGACTATTGGTGATCAAACAAAACTGTGTTTTGTTCTATTCCCCAAACAAAACTTTGGAGTGTGGACTTATATATAGAGGAACCAAAGGCATAGCACGGTTTTCTTGGGTAATGGTTGGGAGTTCGGTCTTCGGAAGTTTGACTGAGACTGAACAGGAGTAAAGACGATACTACCGAAGTCCCCTTAGATTTTGCAACGGCCGTAACGCCCCACCCCTTCTCCCTTCTCTTTTAATTCTTTACACAAATTTAGAGACCAAATACGACAGACACGTTCTTGTTTTGAAAACTCATATAATTACTACTACAAGCTATTATTACTCACTTTGTACTACGTGGGACTCCTTAGTTCCCCGTCATTATTTTATACTATTTGAATTAAACTTACTTACAGTAGATCACACAAAGAAATTTTACAATATTAGTATAATTTAACATGCTATAAATATATTATTTGTTTTATTTTGAGTTGAAGTTTTATATTTTCTCCGTTCACTTTTACTTGTCCACTATTTTAAAAATAGATTTTCATTTTTACTTGTCACGTTTAATATATATCAAGAGAAAGATAATTTCTTTTTTTCTGTTATGCCCACAACATTAATTATTCATTTCAAATCATTTTTTCAAAATCATTAAAAATATGCATGGGTATCATGATAAATTATGCACTTCATTTATTATTTCTTAAGGGGGAGTACATCCATTGTTTATCATGTCATTATCTGTAAATAAAATCTCTTCATTTATCATGAATCGTAGTTATTTTTAATTATCTTTTACATAATCTAAGAATGTAAAAATTTGTTATTCTATCAGTTCAATAGATGTTAAATTCTTTTAAGTTTATAGTTCTAGTATTTAATTATTTTAGAAAATGTAAAAATGGAGTGGGGGAAAACGGTCCCATATAAGAAGCCAAATAGTCCTAGTAAGAAGAGAAGAACACAGTGCTTGTATATCTTTGTCCCTGCCCATGTTTAACTTTAAAAGAAGCTTCCATCGTTTACTCCCATAAACAAACCCACAAACTCCTTTATCCATGAGTCAAAAAATATAAAGCAAGAAAATCCACAACTACTTGCTCTAATTAACAATGGCGGATGATCAAGAAGGGTATAAAGAAGAGACACTAAACGGAGATAGCTATTCAGAATTACTATTTGCCGCCGATGATGATAATACACTAGGAGGGTGTTTTAACTTCACTTCATCTTCACCAAAAATGCTCTGTTTTGGTGATTACACCAAAATGTGTGCTGATAATCCTTTTGTTGAAAGTTGTTCTATAAATTCACCAGCAAAAATCCAGAAATCTGGAGTCACATGCAGTATTGGAGATTCACCCTCAGCTTGTTCAAGTAGCAATAGCAAGAACAAGAAGTCCGATGTATGTAGAAATACTAATTTTGCTTATTCTGAAATTCTTATTTTATCTTTAAGGAGATAATTTATAATCACACAAATGTTTAAGGCTTGTTTTAGAATGTAATTTTTAAAATCTTTATTTTTTAAACGCTGTGCGCATAACGGTGCCACATAAATTGGAAGAAGAGAGTAATTTTTTTCTTTCTTGCAATTTTCTGTGTTGATTTGGTTTTTGGGTTTCTGTATCTTTTTGTCCTTTTTGCAGAAAAAGCGAAATGGAGTAGAGAAAGAATCGGTTGAAAAAACAAAAGCAGTTCCTGCTGGAAATCAGAGAAATTGCAAGAGGACAAAGGCAGAAAATTCAAATGTGACAGGCCATGCAAAGGTCAGAAAAAATGAAAAACAAAACAAACAAATGATCATTTGCATGATAAGTGAAGAAGCATTCTCTTCTTCCTACTTTTTGTTTTTGGGTCAACGTATGAGGTTCTGAACAATAATAATGTAGGTTAAGAAAGAGAAGCTTGGTGAAAGAATCACAGCTTTACAACAGCTTGTATCTCCCTTTGGCAAGGTTCAGTTTTCTTCAATCTTCCTAATTGTAGTCAATTCTTGGAATTTGGATTTTTTTTTTATAAATTGAAAAAATTCATATACATTCATTTAGTGTATTTAAACGTGTTGTACTAAGTAAATTGAGTGTGTTTTAACATATGTTAACTGACTTATTTTTCACCTTACTAATTTGTCGTTGATATATGATCTGATAGCTTAAATATTTACTATTTTGCACTGTATTAATTTCATAATATTAGATAGGAGTATATGGAAATTAATGTGACATTAATATGGATATTGATTAACTACAGACAGACACAGCATCAGTGCTACATGAAGCGATGGGATATATCAGGTTTTTGCACGATCAGGTTCAGGTCTTGTGTTCTCCTTATTTGCAGCGCCTGTCTCCTTCGTTACGTGTAAGTACTTTCATTTTGGCCAATTTTTCTCCTAAAGCTTTATCACTAAAAAATGCTCTCTTTTTACTCCTATTTAGTACGTACAACAACTTTGTCCCTATATATGGGCCTCCCCTGTCCTTACCTTAACACCTTGCTGAAAGTAAATATTGACAAAAAGGTAGAAGAAAACTAAGAATTACTAACAAGTAACAAGCTAGGTGTGTTTAGGTAAAATCTACTGCTGCTAAACTCTTAGCAGTTTGCAGCAGAGCATTTTTTTTCCTTAACAGTAGCATCTTATCCAATGTGGAGGTAGAATCATTAGGATGCTGTCTTAATTTTATGTTCCAAGGAATGATTATATATTTCTGAAAAATCTATAATAACTTTTGATTCGGCACGGAGTTTAAAAAAAAAAAAACTTTTGAAACTTGTGATCTTAAAAGTTCAAGCTAAAAGCTTTGTGGTGCCATGACATTTGTGCGATTATAAAAACTTCTCGATAAGGATAAAGTGAATAAAATAAAAAGTTCAAAGTTAAATTGTTTCTACATACAGAAATGTGTCGTTCTTTTTGAAATAGACTAATAAAGAAATTGTGTTATCTATATTGATAGTAAAAGTAAATGACAATGAGGGCGTTAACTTCTTCTAGATTTAATTGCTATTAAAATGAAGGGTTATACTCGTAATATGTAGATGGTTGATCATGATGCGTCTTAATATGCATTGGACTTGACTTATATATATGGAGTATATTTTAACCTTGTTATAACATATAACATGTCTTACTTTCAAACTATTAGTCTCACTTGTGATAGACGGTTAACTACTTAATTATAATTATCTTTTAGATAAATTGATTAAAAAAAACTCTTTTATTGTGTAAGTTGGTGTTAAAATCTCCCTTTATTGTGGAAGTTACGTGTGCTCATCCCATTTTTTAGGTATAAGTGTAAGTTAAATCCTGATGAGTTAGGTATTTTATGGGTGTATTTTATAGATTTGGTCCAACATTATGTAGTGACATTTGCTCCTTAAATGTTGAACGGTACACTTGATTCGTTACTTAATTACGTACTTACATAGACAAGGGATCAATTTCACTTTATACTTTTTTCCCATTTTCTTCTGTGATGCACTCATGTTATAACATATAACCTGTCTTACTTTTCACACTATTAATCTCATTTTTGATAGATGGTTAATTACTTATAATTATCTTTTAGATACATTGAGATGGATAAACTGTTTCACCGTAAAAGCTCGCTTTACTAATCTCACTTTTTGTGGATGTTACATGTGCGATTCCTGTTTTATCGATACAACAGGTTTAAAAATGTACGTAAATATTAAGTTAAATTCTAATGAGTTTATGGGGGAATGTGACAGGAGGGCGGAGAAACCGGGGAAATGGAAGGATCAAGAAAGGAGACGATGCTCAGGAGCAAAGGACTATGTCTTGTCCCAATAGAGCTAACTCTACATGTAGCTGATACTACTCTCAATGGTGCTGATTTTTGGTCACCTGCCGCCATGATGAACAATATTACTCGTCTCAACTCTAACCAATGAACAATCCCATCCCTCTTTTTGGCTCTCTCCTTTTTCTTGTTTTGGTGGCTTGATATGACAGTACTATATATATTTGCAGCTAGCTAAGGAAAACCCATTTTTAGATATAAAAAGGACATGATAACAACTACTACTGTAGTATAGTGAAAATCATAGTTGTAAGAAGGGCAGCTACCAGGTTTTTCAAACGCTGAAAGGAGTGTAAAAGGAGAGAGGGGCAGACTGAATCCTTTTATGGTACTACCAGTTTTATCGGTTTGCAGAAAATTGAAGTGTAAAATGCAACAAAACTTGGTGGTTGGAAACACAGCTGGGTGTTGGAAATTGTAGACCTTTTAGGGAAATGGAAAAGTGTAGTATTACTCTTATCAGATCGAACAAGGAGTTTTTTGGACTGTGTTTTCTTCGTCTCTTTTTCCTTTTCTTTTTTTGGGGGTCGGAAGTGAAATTTTTTATATCAACTAACTGTAGCTATGTACATCTGCTAGTTACATCTGCTGTGTTTAGTAATAATAAACTGCTTACAGAAAGCTATTTCTATGTCTAGACTAGACTAGATAGGGTAAGTGTTTAGTGTATCTCTTTTCCTTTTTAGTTTATAGCATTCGAACCTTTAATATTACAACTGAAAAGTGATAACTACTCCTTAAATTTAAGGGTAATATAAATCATTGATATTGTAGTAGTTGCCAATTATTGTTCTTCGAGTTAATATAAATCATAGCTACGATGTCATAAAATTGAAAATTTGAAGCTCACTCTTGGCATTGGCGTAATTCAAATAGAGATTCAAAAATTTCTATCAACATATATACTATCATGTATTAAGAAACTAGTATCCGTGAACGTGCGTTATACGTTAATAATGACATGTGATGGTTTAAATATTTATTTATTTGAAGGAACAATAAATTTTAATGAATGAAAGAAATTGTATGTATAATAATACAACTATCATCAAAATGCCGAAAAATACTATTACATTAGCGTAATACGTAAATTTAAAATAAAAAGACTTCATTAGAACTTACACAAATGATCAATTTGGTCATATTAGTTAGATAATTATGTATTATTGTTAGAAGCAGTGGCCATTTTGGACAGATAGGTTAGAAAGTTAAGATCGTAGAGCATTGTTTCGGTGAAAGTACAGTGGAGGGATCATCCGGTCAAGGAGGCGACTTGGGAGACTATGATGACCCAACCGGTTATTTTGACTTTTAAAACCTCGTTCCCCTAAATAAAACTCCTTGTATGTGCTTTTATTAATTTATGACTTGCGGGGATGGTTGGTTCGGGATTTGAAAGTGTTCGGGTTGAAATTGGAACACTTGGTTCCTTAAGTTGGCCTTAAAATGCTAAGTTTGATTTCGGTCAACATTTTTAGAAAATGACATCGGAATAGAATTTTGATTATTCCAACAGCTCCGTATGGTGAGTTTGGACTTAGAAGTATGTTCGGAATTTTATTTGGAAGTCCGTAATTAAATTAGGCTTGAAATGACTAAAATAGGAATTTAAGTTCGGAAGTTTGACCGGGGAGTTAATTTTTTGATATCGGAGTCAGAATCCAGTTCTGAAAATTTTCATAGCTCCGTTATGTCATTTATGACTTGTGTGCAAAATTTGAGGTCAATCGAACTTGATTTGATAGGTTTCGACATCGAATGTAGAAGTTGGAAATTTTAAGTTTCATTAAACTTGAATTGGAGTATGATTCCTGGTTTTAGCGTCGTTTTATGTGATTTGAGGTTTCAAATAAGTTCGTATGATGTTTTAGGACTTGTTGGTATATTTGGTTGAGATCGCGAGGGCCTCAGATGAGTTTCGGATGGTTAACAGATCAAGAGTTGGACTTAAAACAGTTGCTGCAATTTTTCTCTTCTGTTGGAAATTTTGGGTTGTGATCGAGGCCAAGATCGAGGCCCAAGATCGAAGCCCAGGATCGAGACCCAAGATCGATGTTATGATCGAGGGCCATGGTCGAAGCCACGATCGAGGACGAAGATCGAGGCCATGATCGAGGGCTGCCTGGGCAGAATTATAAATGAGGGCATTCGTCCCATTCGCCATTTTAACAAATTTGAGCTTGAGTAGAGGCGATTTTTGATAGATTTTTAGGGAAAAGACATTGGGGTAAGTGATTCTAACTCGAATTTGATCAATATACACGAATATATCATTATTTTCACCATTTAATTAATGTTTTGAGATTAAAATTTGAAATTTTTTAGAAATCTCATAGACACGAATTTTTGATATTTCGGTGTCGATTCGGAGTCGGATTTGAGTGAAACTAGTATGGTTGGACTCGTAATTGAATGGGTTATCGGATTTTGTAAGTTTCATCGGATTCCGAGATATGGGCCCCACGTGCGATTTTTGAGCTAATTTCGGATTTTTATTTAAAAATATAGTATTTCTTATGAAATTGATTCCTATAATTTTTGGTGACTGTATCGAATTATTTTGGTTAGATTCGAGCCAATCAAAGTTGGATAATCGAGGAAAAGGACTACTAGTGGATTAAATTGGAGCAAGACGAGGTAAGTCTCTTGTCTAATCTTGTGAGGGGAAAATTACCCCATAGGTAATTAAATCAAATAATTGTTGCTAATTGCGGGGGATACGTATGCACGAGGTGACGAGAGTCCGTGCGTAGCTACTATTATTGCTAAAGTCCGGGTAGTTTAGGACTCAAAGCATGAATTACTTGTGTAAATTGTATTCTTTATTTAATTAAATTATTTGATATATATTATGAATTGTTAGGAATGGTAAAAGATGAATATCGCATATATTTAATTTTTTGTTTAAATTAATTAATTATTAAAAGAAATTGTTCATCATCTCGAATTGATCTTAATAAATATACTCTCCTTCCGGAGGTACATAAGAAAATGTCCTCCTTTCTTGTGGAGCGGGCCGAATGCCTCGGTAGGATAGATGCATCTATGGATCGCACCGCACGTCCCTCGGCAATATACACGACATTCTGGAACGGGCCGTACGACCTTAGCAGAAATCGTGCCTAATAATAATAATAATTACACGATACCTGACTATTTTATTTGCAGTTTGTGGATTTAATTAATAGATTGGAAATTATTGCAAATGAAGGAATTTTATTATTTCTGCTAATTGAATAAAATTATTATTAACTCTGTGAATCATGCTGATTTAAATAATTCTATTTATTATTGTTGACCCTTAGTGAGTGTCAAAGTCGACTATCTCGTCTCTACCTCTTCGAGATTAGGCTTGATACTTACTGGGTACACGTTATTTACGTACTCATACTACACTTACTGCACTTTTTGTGCAGGATTTGAGTCAGGCACTAGTGGATGACCTATCATCGCACATTCACGTTATCCAGAGGCGTATGGGTGAGCTAACTTCTGAGCTGTTCTGCAGCTACCAGTGCCTCTTCTTGCATTTTTATTCTGTCTATTTTTATTTCAGACAGTATTTGGAGTTTTGTATAATCTACTAGATGCTCATACACTTGTGACCCCAGGTCTTTGCACACACATTGGTAGAATTTGAAATCGTATTATTTTCTTGGATTTAAGTTAATCAGTATCTTTTTTAATTTCTTTAATATTGCTAGTAAAATAATAAAATTACTTAGAAAATTATTCTAAAAATAATTGATATACGTTTAATTTATTAGTTGGCTTGCCTAGCTGTAGTATTGGGCGCCATCATGACCTTTAGGTAAAATTGGGTCGTGACAGAGGCCGGGCATGATATGCGTAGCTGCTATCCTCATCTTTTCACCAGTCCAGGTATAATTCTAAACCCGTTCGAGGACGAACGGTTGTTTAAGAGGGGAAGGATGTAACGAACCGGCCGGTCATTTTGAGAGTTGTAGCCCCATTCCTCTATTTACTGCTCATTATGTACTTTATAGCTGTATTGTGACTTGCCGGTAGGGTGTTCAGGGTTTGGTTTGGGTTGATTTTTTCCTAAGAAGAAACCAGACCAAGTAAGTTGATTTTTCAAATATTAGAACCAAACCAAACCAATTGAGTCGGTTTTTTATCGATTCGGTTTTTGTCGGTTTTTAGATTTTTTCGATTATTTATCGATTTTTTTCTTAAATATGAGACATACACTACCAAACGCATATTCCGGCGATTACATTTTCAACGTAACACTATCAAATCAATTGCTCTTTGAGAAATCTATCATTTTCAAGATATATTGATGATAATTGAATCAAATGGTAATGAATAATTTAAGTACTCAATTAAAATTCGATTATGTTTAACATAAAATAAATTTTTGTACTTAGTAAAAGAAAACTACCAATTAAACTAGAATCTAAAGGCAAAGAATTAGATTATTATAATAGCAAAGAACTAGACTAAAAATACAAATGACTAATATGTACCATACAATTTTATAAACTTTATATA